TGAAAATTATCTGGAGCTAGTTAAATGGTTACTCTGACATATGCAAAGACATTCAGATACACGTGGGATTTTCTCTGCCTATGACTGATCTTGGCCCTTTGGAAAATACTAGTCAAAGTAGATGGTTTCTCGTCTCCATATGATACACCCTGAGCATACATCTTTTCTCTAAGAAGGAGAAAATGGGGGGGGGGGGGGGGAAATATTATCTAATAAGAGAACAATGAGCTGCTTTGGGCTAAACACGTAGGAAAATAAGCAAAAGAGAAAAAGTGAAGATCAGAGAGAGAAACAAAGAGAAGAATAAAGCTTCTCATAAAGAAAACAGACCCATATATTTGTAACATTTAAATATTTTTAAAAAAGCACTATTCATCTTTTAGCCTCAATCCTCAATACTTATCAAAAAAGTAACATGATGGAGAGTGAATACATTCTAAATATCACTTGCACTACCAAACTGCACAGACCCTAGTACCTCTGCCCCAGATTTCCAAGGGGCTCATTTGGTGTCACCACCTAATCTGACAGTTAACAAAGAATGTCAACAGAAAAAATTTAAAAGTGCTAGAGAGTGAAACATATTTCTAGCAATAAACGGGGGAAAGAGAGCCCAACAAAAGCTGAAAAAAAAAAAAAAAAAAAAACCACGTAGTGAGCCTCAGCTCAAAAACTCTGTTATTTCAACAAAAAGCAGTCAATTCTAATGAGAGGCATCCCCAACCATTCAGATCCAACTCGTGTAACAACAGATGTGCTGGATGGCTGTAGGTGACATACACTCACCTGGTTCTCACCCTGGCTAGCCCTGAGAATCAACAAGAATGCAGTGGTGCCAGGCTAAGGTGACTTTCCTTTGCTAAAGTCTCTAAAGTGCATCAGTTCACTCAGAAGAAGGCACCTTTTTGGAACGTATCCCAAATGAACATGATTCTTATTTTCTACTCTCTCAGGACTACTACATCCTTAACCCCATGCTCCTGTGGCTATGACATGAAAACATGCATTTGGACAATTGAATTGCTTGGAGCAGTAATTTTGTATTAACACAATGGATACATTTATCTCCTGTACCGACATTATCCATAAGAGTAGCTTTTTCATTCTTGAAAACACAGATCGAAATGGAGTATAGGAAGTTTCCACTGGATGGCTATCACCCCCTACCAAATACGGCATCTTTTTCTCCCCAAATATCACATCTTGTAGCAGTGATAAATACAGAAAATCTGGCAAGAACTATCATTTTATAGGAAGTCTCTGTTATTTATTGACCCCGCTGAGTTAATCTTCAAAAAGATCTTCTCCCTCAATCATTGTTTCTTATCAGACAACAAAAGACTTAAGAGTTGAAAATCCCAACCAATCCCGGAGAGCGTGAGGGTTTTGCCCAAGATGTTTTGGACGTTTTTACTTTAAAGAGAGTTAGATTATTTAAGAAAATTGTTCTCAGCATTAGACACACTGGTTTAGACCCCAGCCACGCTGAGCACTGCTTCTCTGTAAGTCCAAAATTGAACTTGAGCTTGTGCTTAATGTTCTTCTTCTGTAAAATGAACCTCTAATGACTTATGTTATATGTTGTTAATATTAAATGAAATAATATACATTAAATAAGAGGTAAAGTACCCAGTGCAACTGAACGAACATTAGGTAATGTTCGTATAAGAGATTATACCACTTAACTAACTGAGAAGTCTGAGATAAGTTTTTTCCATCATGAAAGGATGGATGTATTATATCTGAAGACATTAGAGAAAATACTAGAAGTGAGTGTGGTACACACACGTGTATGTATTATCCTCATAGTCTGCTGTCGTGACTTAAATATTTTGAACTTCAGGTGAAACTATTTTCTCTCCATGCAAAACTTAATATTTTCAAGTCACATTCTATAATTACTTGAACTGCTGACAATCTAGAAAAACAGGGATTCTGGAAATAAATCCCAGCCAATATCTAGCTGATATGCATCCACGCCAGAGGAACACCTTATATGCCAGCTCAGTGTCATTGAAAAAGAAAAATTAAAAGTTAAATAAGAAAGTGTTTTCTCTCCCTCAGCCCTCTGGTTCATTTTTGTATCTTCCATCCACGTTTTTCTGCATTTCTCCCAAGCTGCAGTGCCATTTAAAATATGCATTTGTAATGTATTTGCTTCAGAATAGCATAAAACTGTACACATTGAAAAGGTATTCCTAAAACACAAAACCCACAAGGAACCATCTGAGGAATTTCCATCTCAGCCTCCCTCCTTTATAGAAATGGAAACATTTTCATCTAATAATATATCTAAATCAATACGGTCCCCACGACCATCACATGCCAATTGCGCTGATGGCACAACTCCTGAAATTTTCAAAGAAACGCAAGACACCTAGAACTTGAAGAGGTGTTCCCTTTCCAACTTCAACTCCATGAGAACATGGCAACAGACTTCAAACATCAAATGTATCATTTCCCACAGAACAATATTTATTTCTCCTTTGCTGAAACTGCCCAAAGTGATTCAGGTCCTGGAAATGTGACTTGTTAAGGACATTTGTAAAAGGACATTTAATTCTTCCTTTTCTCTTGTCCTAAAAGATATTAACTTCCCCCAACCCCATCTCAACCCCGGCAAGAGCCACTCAAATCGAGGACGGTCAGAAAGGCAGCGGGAATAGGACAGTAGGCCTTGACAACTGTGGATGAAGGACTATTAAGCTCAGCTCTTCAGAAAATACCTTGATTGTCCATGACATACGGTCATTTCTTTTTGTTTAGGACTCACAGAGTGAGGATCAAGAGCAGGAACCAGGCAAAATGTCTAGCAGCCTGGGCATTTTGTTGTAGCAGCAACACCTAAAGGTGTACCCTGCATAAACTCTCCTTCTGCTCTTCTTGGAGGCATGAACACATGGGGTCTATTGGAAACTGGCCATTTAAAAAAAAAAAAAAGAAAAAGAAAATCTAGTGCTCTTTTGGAAGTGAAGAAGTCTGATATTATGATAATATGATGCTCATTGGCAGAAAATAAAAGGTTTAAGGGACAAATTATGTCGTTTAGTGGTATATGGAAACTTGCAAGAATCATAAGGATTTCGAGAAGAGCTGACCAATAGAACTTTCTGAAGAAATGGGAATGTTCTATATATGCTCTAACAGGTGCACTTGAAATGTGGCTAGCCTGACTGAGGAACTGAATCTTAATGCTCAAATTTTATTTAACTTTAATTAATTTAAAATGTAAATAGTCATACATAAGTAGTGACTACTACATCGAACTGAGCAAGTTCAGAGTCATCACTCAGAGTTTACTGAGAGCCTTTATACACTGGTTTATTTTCTCAAAAACTGTTATACAAGGAAACAGGTCTCAAACATGTGTATTAATATTTATGACTATGCGATTGCAAAATCACAGTGAATTAAACATAAATGCACTATCTCTACTCGTTGAAACTGTACCAATCTACTTGACCTATGGGTTTTTTCCATGTCTGTTATGGCCTTACAGAGAAAGAGGTGAAATTAGAAGGAAAGAGTCACTTGCTTGCCTATTTTGCAATCAGTGTGTCCCTGCATTAGTATCAGAACGTCATAAGAAAAACCAGAATGGAGAGTGAAAAACAACAGCAACAACCAGGAGTATCTGATGGAGAGGGAAGATGTAAAGGATTAAAGGACAGTAATCTTTCATTCCTACTACTGTTCAGAATAGGAGGTCCACGTGCCAACAATCAGATAAAGTGGAAAGCTAATACATTTTAAGATGTATTTTGCCAGCACAGTAGAATGCAACCACAGGACCCAAGAATTCTGAAGCTCCAAGGGCCTTTAAACATTATCCGTTTCAAACTCTCCTGCAGGTAAATAAGTAATTTGAAGCCCAGAGAAGTGAAGTGTTCAGTGTTCCTGAGATAATAGCCAACCTCAGTCCCAGATCTCCTAGTCTGAGCTCTCTCCACGATGACTTTCACTCTCATTCTGCTGAACACAGACTGAGTCTTGAGCAGAGAAAGAGCCTCATCTCCATCCCAACAAGTCCCAACCTCCAGTGAGTAGAAAATAATGTTTTAACCATGCTGCTGTGCTTGATACAAAAGTTCCCTTCACCAACACGGCATTCCTAAAAACCACGCAGTTTACACAATTTACCAAACACTGTGAAAAAAGAAATTATAATACACAGATGTCTTAAGAGAATGCTTTATATAGGGACAGTTTTTGAGTTTAATGTGTATTTTTGTTATGAAGGTGGTTTGTGCTGTACTTAAAGGAGACATGAGTTCAAGAGAGACAGTTCCAAATTACCAAAGCAAATGACTGTTCATCTTATGCTTTTTGGTGACTCAGTGGCACCATGAAAAGTCATTAAGATAGAAGCAAACAATTACTGAAAGGAGCAAAACCAAACAAGCAACCTCCTTTTAGATCTAGAACTTACATATTAGCCAGCTCAAAAACTCTCATTTTACAGGTGAAAAAACTGAGATGGCAGATTTTAAATGACTTGTTTCAAGTCACACAGCTAGTAAGTAAAAGAACTGGGTCTTAGAGGCAGGACTTTTGTCTCCAGGTTTGGAATTTTTTGTTATTCTAAAAACCACACTAAGATCGATGTCTATAAAACAGAAAAACAAAGAAAAGGACAATTATCCTATGTATGTCATTATTGTTTTAAAATGTCTGTCATTTTTCATTGGAGGTATATTTGACATAACACGTTCCATGTTTTGTATGTAATCACAGGGATTACTGATGGAAGGAAGAAAATTGCGTTTCACGAGTTATGTAAAAGATCAGGCAATAAATACACAGTACGGCCTAAATTTTATCGACTTTCCTGGTCCTCAGACAATCTTCTACAGATAAATGCCACTACTGCTGATAAGAGCAAGAGATAAATAACACTGCACATTTTAAATGCCATGTACTTTGAATTTTATACTGTGCTCTTATAAATGAATCCACAAGAGAAAAAGCAAATGCTAAATAAATACAGTGGTGGGGCTTACATTCTTGTGTTGCTGGTTTTGTTGATGATGACAGATTTCCCTGTTTGATCCACGTTGTGATCCAACCCAAAGTAAGCGGCCACTCGATGGACAAGCATCCTCTGATAGGACGACATCTGAGGAAACTTTTTATAATGATTACTGGAAAGGAATACAAGAAACAGCAGAATCAGCATATTCGTTTCTGGCCTGTAGTACATTTTAGAGGCACACAAACAAAACCATTTCTTTTTCATCCAAACCATTAAGCTTATTTCATTTCTGGCATCACGTGAGGTCCTCATTTCCAGACACATTTTCCACTTACAGATGTATTGATTAAGTTACAATAAGTGTTTTTGTTTTATAGTTGCACATTTCTCAGACCACAGAGAACTTAATGTCCACTGGAAAGTGTTCTGTTTTGGTCCAGGATACCTTATCAACAGAGCCAGGCACAGGACAAATGACATGACATAATACGGGACTGCAGATGCCTATCTGGAGATATGTCATTACATGGTTGACACTGAAAGCAGTACAATTATTTCCAGGCATAACTGACTACAGCCAGCTGGTGCCCATTAAAAAACTATAATAAAAATGAAAAGGGTCGCTTCTTGTTACTGCTACTCTATGCTAATCAGTGGCCCCCTGTTTATAGCCATTTTGTCAGGAATTTAACAAGCAGGAGCACACACGGTCCAAGCAACAATTCCCATCAGCACATCGCTCCTAACTCCAATAGCATCTCTGTTTAATGAGTCAGCAAACACATTAAATAATGTTTTATCTATCCCTAAAAATCTTTCCAGAATGAATAATTAAACCCAAATACCAAACTAAGACATATCAGATTAATTAACCGGCATTGCAATTTAACATACTTGTTGTCACCAATGAAATCAATAATTTCCTGCTCCATTTTCAAGAGTATCATCCTGTCTCTGCAAAATAAATGTTAAAATGAAAAGGCTTTATGTACTTTCCATTCCCAAAGACTTAACAATTTCATTTATATGTATGGAAAAGATTGTTTAAATCTATGTGGCTACAAATCAGTATCTAACTCTTCTCTGGAATATGCTGTCCAAATACCTGTAATTCCATTCTGTTTAAGATTATTTCTCATCTCATTTGTTAAGTATTTTGTAATATTGAAACTCCTGTAGTTTTTAATATTAATTAAGGCATGCAAGGTATTAGGCCCATAAAACACATCAAGTAAATTTTAAATTGATAGGAAACTGGAACAAAGCTAAGCCTAAGTAGTTGGTTCTATAGCTGTACTGATGCATATTTGGTTTATTTGACATTGATTCTCATCCTCTATTTTTTCCCCTTAATCAGTATCTCTTTGTGACCAGAAAAGCAGAACTTGTAAACTGTAATTTATTCATTGGCTAAGTACCCAGGAATTAAGACTATTTATAAACAGTACACATGCAAACTATTTGCAGAAAAAAGAAAATACAAGAGACAGTTTAAGACATCAGAGAAGAAGCCTGCCTTTTACAACTCTCTTCTTAGAAGTGTTTGGATTAATGAGTTTGATTGTAATATTCTACTTGACTCTTCTAGAAATGAGAGGTTTACTTAATAATTTACCTGGAATTATTCTTTAATGTGTTAATCAGAAACTCGTGTAAGTCTATGCCTGTAGAATCCGTATATTCTTGGCTGCAATCTGAAACAAATAGCAGGATGGAGTTGTCAGAAAGGCCGATGGGGAGGTGGGGTGGAAAAGGTTTTCCCAACCTTTCCCGATCCCTTTTGCTCAGGTAAACTTTAGGTGAAGCTATTGGTGTGAAAGATACATGTTACAAAACTAGCAACCTGGTAATATTACATCAGGATGAAAATTAGATTCGGGGATTGAGAACACCCAGTAAATTCCCAGTGTGGAAAGACCCAACTGTCATAGGAGAGGAAGTGGGCACAGTCTGGGTGGGTGGGTGGAGTCAAATGTCATGTGTTCATTCTGTGCTGTCAATCAGCAAGGGCACGACCTCACCGTGACAGTGAGGGGTACTCCCAACCCACAGAGAGAGCTCTCAAGAGTTTGAGATACCATGGAACTCTCTTTCTCTTAAAACAGAGAAGGCAAAAACTGAAAGTTCTGTTATAAGACTGTCTAAATAATAATCAATACAAAGTATAGGAGGGCACTAAATATTTCCAAGTCTTTCAAGTCTTTTGATGCTGGCTAAAGCTTAATTTCTAAAGCCATCTTAGGAAGCTGTACTTCTTTACTCTTGGATACACCTTGGTTTTAGATATTCAGCAGCAGAGATAATCATTATAGGCAGATATGTGGTTATAGAGCATAATATGAGAAGTAGTTGTCATTTCTCAGCTGATCAGATGCCCTATGCTCCCTCAGTTATTTTTTAAAAAAATAGTCTACTGCCAAGCTATTTATTCATGGTATTCTTCATTTCAACTTAGTTTTGTTTTTCTCTCGCTCTCTTTTTTTGGTTTTAGTTTTGTATAATTATACATAAGGCAACAATTTGAAAAGCCCGGATTGTAGATTTGGGGTTTTAGAAGGAATAACTTTTGGGGAAGAATTTTTATTGAAGTAGAAGTGTGTATATTTTAAATGAGACATTATGGAGCAGTATATGGGTTGCAGAGACCAAATTCATCTGTGCCAGATAAAATGTTAATATGTGTTCCATTGACATTGGTATATACATCTGTGCTTTGGGGATAACAACACTTACCACTTATCGACTGAGAATTGCTAATCCACTATCTGTTTTTTAAGATAAACATGAAAGTTAAGATATAAAACTGGGTACTATTACTGATCATCAATTCGAGTTAACTGCACTAATAAACCTGAATTAAGAACATATTTATATTCACTCCCTTGTACAAACTTCTCATTGAAAATAGGATATCCAAACGAATATCCAAAGAAATATGTGATCCTAAAAGTAACCTTTCTAGATACACAAAAATGACACCATGAACAGAAAAAAAAAATCAAGGTCACATCACCTTTTACACACACACACACGTACACATATAAAATTATATGCAGAATTTGGTGGGAGGTGACATGTGTGTAAAATCTATAATGTATTCTGTGACTATTTATGCGTCCAAATTAAGTTAAGGAAACATTTTCACATTCACCTTTTGATAACATTCTGATCTTGGGTTTTTCACAGGTTTTATCTTTGTTTTTATCCTTTTCTTTTTCTCTTTCAGAGTCATCTTTCCTAGATTTATCATCCTCTTGCAGGCTGGGAAAACTGGAAAGCTGTAAATGAATTGATTCCTGTTGGGGAAAAAATATAATAATTTAGGGCCAGATTTAAGAATCTCTGTCTGGTTTCCATTTTGCATAGAGATTATTAAGAACAGGAAAATGAAAGCCAGGTGCAGATTTTTTTTTTTCTTAAATGGTAAAAAATTAAACCTGTCAGAAAAATAATTGCCCTTTAAGGTGAATTAAACTTCAGAAGTCAATGGAAGGTCATGAGAAGTATATAGTACTAAAACTTTGCCTCATGAATATTAACCATAAGCAAGTTAAACTTCCGTAGATAACAACACTGATTTTCTCTACAGGTTTATTTTTAAACACCTAGGAAAAATTTTCTTTATCAATAAGCTTGCATCACAGCTCCTGTCATGTCTCAAAAAAAAAAAAAAAACGAAAAAAAGAGGCTTCTGCAGTTCTTTTCTATAATTCCTTGTAAGGAAAAATTGGCACAAACACAGACAGACAGATACTATGAATCATAATTACAGAAAAAACAGACATAAATAAAGGCCATGACAGCCAATTTACAATTAAAAATCTGCTTTAGAACCATATCAATAATGATTTCTATCACTATGAAAACTCAAGATATAGAATTGCAGGAATCCTAGGTATGGGTTATTACCATACATTGTTTACAAAGGCTATTAATAAATCATCGTAATATATGGTTACAATAAGCACTGCCTTTTAGAAAAGGTAGAAAATAGGACTATATTTTCCATCAGTTATACATAAATATTTAATATTATTTTAATTCTAGCATCAGTTAATCCTTTCCAAGATGTAAGATTCTCTTGAACTGATGCTTGGTTGACCATTTACAGTATTGGGACTGGATCCACTTTTATATTTATTGATTTTTCACTGAAAACAGATCATTTTGTATTAACTCATATATCAGCCATTTGGTTGATAGTATGTTCACTGTTTTGAAGAAGAATGAGCCAAATTATGTTTTTCAGTTTTATGAAAAAACTACACTATGATTAAAACTATGACAAATGAGCCAACATTAAGCCCACTGGCTCTTATGTAAGAGATGATTTGATGGGAAAGCTTTCTTCTACTAGCGACATTAACATTTATGACGTAGGAAAAAAATATTCCCAATGACTAATAGTGTTTCTCACTGATAGCTAAACTAATGCTCCTCTACATGTGACTAAACTATGCCTCTACATCCTCAAATTACGGTCAATCTGGGATTCTTAATGGTTCTTGGTAAATCTAGCTAATCTAACAAGCAGAAAACAAAAATCCTCCAAAGCCAAATTTCTTTTTTGGGAGAGGCTCCATTGTGTATTCCAGGCTGGAATAAAAAGTCACCATGTTTGGAAAGATGCATGATACAGAGGATGAAATAAAACACCTTCTCATGGTAAATATTTATCTTAGCCGGGTTTCCTGATATCCACATGTTTATCCTCGGGATGGACATATACAAATTATGTAAAATGGAGTGTAATTTGATTGTAAGGTCTTTTATCACCGGACTTGGGACAGAAATGTCTCAGTCTGTAAAGATTCAGGCAGACTTCGGGGTTACGGTTTGCTTCCACTTGTTAAGGAAACAGCTGGAACATTTCTGGCTCTGAGTGGGGAAGAATCGATTCGACAGTGGATCAGGGGAAAAAAGTGATGGTACCAGGCCATGGCAGTGGTCTCATTGCTTCTTCAAAACCGATTGAACCATCCAGCCTCGGTAAGTTTGAATCTAAAATCAAAGAGGCTTGGAAATATAAATGTAAGAGCACAGGCTAAAGGACATCATTTACCAAAAATATGTACAAACTCATGCTGTGTGTTGACAAATACCATACTCAGAAACATACCTGTCTTTTCTACACATTCTGGTGTTGAAAGAACACACAAAAGTGCTATAGAGTTGGTAAAAAACAATCTGTTCTTTTTTAATATTTTTATTGATATGCTCAATAATAAAATACAAGTATTAATAAATACATCGGTACAGGATAAGTTTATATCCAACAACAGGAAAAGAATGATTCAAGTTGCAGTAATACACTGATAGGTAAATAGTATAACATTAGAAAAGCAAAACTCCTTTAACTTAAGGACAGGCTGAACCATCAGCTATGGGTCTGAGATCAAGTAATACAGGTAGCAAGAGTTTTTCCCACGCAGGAAAATGAAGGCAGTTTTCCAAATACTGTGAATATACAAACATTGGGGAAGCAATACAATCCGTATACTGTATACTTCGGCCAGTGTTCTCAGGGATTCAGTTCCCACATTTTGTTTAAGTGCCGGTAGTACCTAATGAAGGCATTGCATTCAAGCTCAAAGGTCTGCTTCTTTATTTTCTAAAAAAAGTAGCACGGCCACTCGCTTATTTGTGTGTCTATCAGCCCCCTGCTTCCACCACACCTCAGCCAGTCCAAAGAGAGGCTTGCAAGCTCTAATTTCTACAAAGCTAGTCTTAGTTACTCAGCTTGGAACCAGCAGGAACAAAGCACCGTTTGCCTCTTATTTCTCTGCACCAATTGTATGGAGAACCTAGACTTAGGTCCAGGATGGGCACAATGATACAGATGATCTCTTAAAAAATTTCCTCCTGGTACTTGTCAAATAGGATAAAAAGCAGATGAAATCTATAAAGGCTGTCCTCCTCTGCCTGGCATTAGAAGTGGGGGACCACTGGGGCATTACTTCTCCCAGGGTCTGTCATTCTGCAGTGTTAACATATATTGTGTGCATTACATCACAAGCCATCAATCAATGTTGAATAATATAAGCTGTGATATTCACATTACTCCCCCTTTTCAATCTCCCTTAAAAGAAGAAGCACAAATAAAATGCTGAACAAAAGCCACATATTTCTCAGAGCCCAAGTAAAATAAAGCCTGTGTATGAAACATAGGGATGGCTACTGAAAGCTAGCCTGCCCATGGCTTACGACATGGGTGGCTTATTAAGGAAATGAGGCTAGGGAAAAAAAAATACTCTTAGGACAAAATCTATAAGGAATTTATTTTTGGTCCTTTTAAAGAAAGTGCTCTCAATGCTCTCTGTACCCATGAGGAGAATTTAGACTATTTTAATTAAAGTAAAAAGAGCGAAGCAAAACAAGGCCCAACAAAAATAATGCTATCTTAATCAATTTTTCCTCCTCTGGGCTCAGATAAATCATTTTACTTGTCTTGACTGCTCTCAGCCTCTGATGAAATAAGGAAAATTTTTTAGCAGCAAGACCATTTTTATAAAAATGAATATGATGCCTGAAAGGCAAACAAAAATAAATATGATGTGAAGTTTCCCATTTTGTCACAGAAGGGTTTTGTTGGAATTTGAATTTTTAGAGCTTAATAGTCTTGCTATAAGGAGCAAAAATAGGTATAAGGATATGCAGCAATGTATTAATAATATTAACTCAAATTCACCATCATCTCAGGTTTATTTCTGGACAATTTTTCCAGTAGTGAGAAATCTCCACCAAAGGCCATAAAAGTATGTCTCCAAAACTCAATGCACCTTATTCACTATTTCTGAAGTTTCATAAAAGCCAAGATTTGTTTTTTTACAGGCAAGTGCATTTTGGGGAGGTAAGAATCTCCAATAAGGAAGGAGATGGGATACTTGGGACTATATTTGGTTCAGTTTTATCAAGAGAGAGCCTTTGAGGAATATCAGCACGACTGTGCTTACATTTTAAGTTTTAATCTAAATTTCTTTTGAATTCCTTTCCATTTGCAGTTTTCAGAGGGTCTGGAAAAAAACAAATGTAATACTTTGTGACAAACTGTTCAACTAATATTGAATGTCTCAGAAACAGAGGATGAAGCCAGAAGACTTTTTCCTTCTTGAACTGTTTTTTGCTCCCCCAAAACACTATTTAATGCCAAATTAATACTCATGCACACAAAGGTAGATCCCGTTCATGCAATGATCCATAACGACGGGGGGTATACCTGGTCCTGAAGACTTTCCCCTCCTGGTCTGGCTGAGGATTCTTCACAGACAGCAAGGCTGCGAGTCAGTTTACCTTTCCCTGCTCCTGACTGGGGAGGGAAAAGAAACGAGAAGGAAAGGAAAATAAAGAAAACACCCCCAGGAAATATCCTCAGGCTGTCGAATCATCTCCACCTTCTCTGGACATTCCCAAATCAGAGTTTTAAAAGCAAGCTTCAGATCCACTGCTCAGTGCTGTCTACAACGGCTCCAAGCATCACCCCCCTGTGTTGATGGGGATGCAGTGTCTACACTGGCTTAAAGCATCGGACCCCAGTGTTGATGGAGATGCAGGTGGAGGAGAATGTGGAAGGATGAATTTGAGGAACACGCCTAGCAAACTGTGCCCATCACACTGGAGACGTACAAAGAATGAATTGCTGTCTTTTCATGAAAGTACAAGGAGAAAAAGATAACACAAATTAATTTCTACTAAAACTGGGTTTGGAAGTGACTTGACTGAGAAGATGTTTTAAAAGTTGAAGATTGTGTCCTAAACACCAGAACCTGTTTACTTCAAGGCAGAAACTAGTTAGACAGACGAAAACATTTCCCCCAAACTTGATTTAAAATGAAAAGAAAACAAGCAGCTATGTGTTTGTAAAGCACTGTCAAGTCTGCCAGGATCAAATATATACACTGCAGCTATGTGAACCCTAAATGCTCTAATTAAAAAGCCTACAGAGGGACTTCCCTGGCAGTCCAGTGGTTAAGACTTCACCTTGCAATGTAGGGGGTGCAGGTTCGTTCCCTGGTCAGGGAGCTAAGATCCCACATACCTTGTGGCCAAAAAACCAAAACATGAGACAGAATTCAATAGACTTTAAAAATAGTCCACATCCAAAAAAAGCACATAGAGCAGAGAGGCATCAACACGACCCCATTAAATGCAGGCAGCACCGGTGCAGCCAAGATCCACATACAGCCATGTGAATCGTTGGCAAATTCTCTAACCCTGATGTTAATCCACGTGCAACCATGATATCAGGTCAATGTAGTATTCCAGAACCCTACCTTGGATTTTCTTCTCTCTTGGTTCTGAGCCGCCAGTTGCCTCTGTATGTTAGAAACAAAATCAAACAAACAAACAAACAGTCCACCAACAACCAGGAGAGGGGAGGGGAGAGAAGGAGAGAAAAAGATGTCACCAGAGTTGAAAAATCAATAACAACAGCAACAAGGTATTATAACCACCAGGGAGGACTCCCCCAGCTCTTGCTTCCCCAAACTTTTGACCATTTAGCTTTTCTCATTCCCTCCTTACAGCAGCTCCTGGGGAGGGGAAAAGCCGGCCTTGAAGGCTTTTTTGGCCATTATGCTGTTATCAGCCTCTGCTCCCTTTTTATATAAAAAGAGTTAACACTTTTGTAGTTTGGTTTAAAGAAAATCGATACAGGTTATTTGCAAGTACAGTTTGTTTTCCTTCTACCAAATCTCCTTCTCTCATAAATCATGAGTATTTAATCATATCACTTTTTCAGTACCGTCAATCACTCCCAAACTTCCCCCTACCCCTTCTAGAGCATTCTTTCTCCCTCTCTCTCTCTCTCTCTGGCTGGGAATTCTAGGCTTTTCTGCTAATAAGAATCGAAGCTTAGCCTGCCCAGGAAGGTCAACAGAGCTCATGTCTTTGATTTTTCTTAGTCTGTCATGAGCTGTATTCCATGGACTACAAACCCATTTTTATAACTCAGCTAGTGTAAAGCTGCCTCAGGAGAAGTCCTCCACAGGCTACTTGAGTTGATCTGGAAATTAATATGCAGAAGCTGTGGGCAAATTCAGTCATTAAATATGTTCTTTGGATTTTTTTTTTTTTTTTTTTATTTCAAAGGGCATTTTGACCAGAATGCAATTTTTGGTCAAAAAAAAAAAAAAAAGACTAATAATTGGGAAAGGAGAAGATTCATTTTATGGATTTCCTATTTATTTTACTAGTCAAACTCTTTACAAGCAAAAAACCCCCAAACCTTCAGAGTATCTTCAAAATGAAAGAAAGGGATGCACACAGTGGTATGAGAAATGGGACTTCTCCAGGCTCACCTGTAATTCCAGTTTTTCCTCCTCGTCCAGACTTTCGGATTTAACCACGCCATTCTCTGGAGTGGCCGTCTCCTGCTCAGGCCCGCCTTCCTCCACTATGGTCTGACTCAGGTCTCCTGGCTCAGACATTCTCCCAGATGCAAATTAAAATAACAAGATTTGACACCCTACAAGGTTAAGACATCAGAAAGTAATGTCAGCACAGGGTGAAGTCTTGACCATTATCCTTGAGATATTTGATTTTTCCCTTTGTACTCAAATTCGAATAAGCAACTCCAGCCTCCCTGACAATTTTATACAAAAGGAGAATAAAACAAGATCAAATCAAGTACCCAAGACAAACACAAGAGGCAGATTCAGTTGCCCTGTCCACGCCCCTCCAAACACATAAACATGCTCTTGTGAATACACCTTGCCGTCAAGGTGGGTCAATACATCTTAAAATGAGACATCAAAGTCCCACACGTCTCCCGGTTCCTATGCTCCTCTACAAAGTAGAAGCAAAAGAAGAAGAGAGTATCTCCCCAATTCTTCCTCCACTTCTGAGTCGGGAGGTGGTACTAGGTTCTGCAGCATCTCTAAGATGACTCATAAATCATTTGCAAATTTCAACCACAGACATACCTTCCTGGGTATAAGGGATTCAGTACACTCTACAAGGGGCAGAAGTCAATGTAAGAGGTAATAATTCAGTATACACATAGGATCTAAATTTGGCAGTAAACCGTTCAGGGACAACAGTTTCAGGCTTCAAAGTAACAGTGACACTATTAAAAGCAGAAGCCCTCCCCAAGCCCTGTCGGTGACTGATGCTGGAGATTCTGCAGAAGGAAGCTATCACAACTGAACTCCGATGCTCCAGGCTCACAAGAGACGACTACACAGACACTGGAAATGGCTTTTCAAAGTGTAAGCCTGTTATTAGTACTTTTTTCTCCCTTCTTCCATAAAGCCCTGACACTTCCCCTTCTGATGTGCTGTCAAAGGGGGCTCCTCAATAATTTAGCATTTACTTCCTCCTCAATTTTTTTTTTAAGAAAAACAAGAAAGGAGAGAAAAGAAGGAAGGAGGAAAAGAAAGAAAAGAGAGGAACGAAGGAGAAAGAAAAATAAGAGAAAGACCTTGTAGCCTAGAAAGTCAGTTTTTTCACAAAAATTCCCAAGTAATGACTGCCCTGTTCCTAGTCATTACAATGGTAACTATTACTGGACAAATCAGTGTCTTGACATGTTTCTCTGGGAGTGTTTATCATTTACTAGTTCAGTAACTTTATTTCCAACTGGACATAGGAAGCACGAGAAAAATCTAAATTGCAGTAATTTCTGTTGCAAATTTGCTAAGACCTACCATGACAGGACAAGCTCACTTGGCAAAGGATTGTGGGAATGGAAAAGGAAGTTTTCCTCAAGGATGGTACTTGGGAGTCTGTGAGGGCCTGGTGAGCAAGGCTCTTAGGTTTGGGGAGGTTTGAGGATATCCATTCAGTGTATCTGACAGATCTCTTGTATTTCAGTGACACCGGGGATGTGTGTAGTTAACCAAACAAAAAGTTCTGTTTCCCAGTAGCAAATAGTTTGTTTCTCAATGTACTGAGTGGGGGCAGGAGATGGGACTTCTGTTGCCCTAACTTTTTTTCCAGAGGGTTTCAATAAAAAACAGATTGTGGCCAGCTTTAAAAAAAAAAAAAAAAAAAAGAACAAATTGAGCTCTAATTTTACAAACACTAAGGCAGTTGAATCCCTGATACAGATCCTGTCTGTTTTGGTTGCCTTTCATGAACTGTTTTATGCAAACAGGCATATTTATAGAATGAGAAAAATATACAGATGAGATGATAGCCATCTGATGACAGCCCTTTACCTTTTGCGCAGAATTTCTGCTGTCGGTCTTGGCGACTTACGAGCGGCTTCTGTCCTTCTACGCTGGGAAAATCCACACGAGGGATCAGAGACAGCGGGAGTCCCATGTCCCCATTAACAGTTCAAAATGCCCATCTCCGTGCGATTCCCTTACACAGCCTGACACATCATCCACCTGAAAAAAGACGAAAAGTCAATAGTCACAATAATTGCAACAACCATGGTAAGGGTGAGGGACGAAATAAGCAAGACTGGGTTTCTAACACTAATGACCGGCCTCCAGCAAATCACGTTCACAGCTTGATCCACTCCACCTGTCCCGAGCTGCCTGCTTCTTCTCTAATGAAGGCTACAGCCGGCTGTTCAAGTCAGAGCGGCACCCACGCAACGAGCTAAAATTAACAATTGCATTATGCACCGAAGATTACTCACTTCAATTTTAACCTTTTTTAGTGAAATCTCGCACTTTATATTAAAAAAAAAAAAAACAAGTTTGTGTGTTTGCCTCAATGACAATCCAGATCACCTATGAGCAAAAGTCTTGCCTCCGTTTTTAACCAAAGCTTTTGTCTTAATTATAGATCAATATAATCTACCTGAGTGCTGTTCCTGTGACTCTTTTCTTCTGAAAGTTATCCTAAGAAGGCTGAAAGATTTTTGACTTAATGAGGCATTAGCTATAAAAGTGAAAAACACAAAGAAAGGAAAAAGAAAACTTTCACAGTGGTATTGTTGAGAGAGCTCTTTCCTCTCCACTGACAGTTTGAGAAGAAGAATTCCGAATATTCTCTTTGCTGTGTGAGCATCATTTACCCGCCACCTACTGGCCCCTCCCAATCAGGACTGCCACCGTCAGCTGGGCATTCTGTTTGACAGCAAAGCAACACTGTCAGAGGGATTCAACAGATTTGCAAACTTTGAGCCTGTTGAAAACAATCCCTGCTATAACGTGCACTTTCTTTTTCTCACAACTCCTACAGGAGCAGCGGCAAATACAGCTTGAATGCAAAGAGAGAGACAGATTCCTAATAACGTTTGCCAAAACCAAGCTGTATCTCTCTCCCTTTGCTGCAACTCTACCCTGGCGCACATCTGCTAAATCCAACAGCCTGCGCACGTGTTCCACCATATACCCGACTTTGAAAACACTAAATGCATCTCAGTTATTTACTCTGAAGTTTAGAAACTCTCTCTGCCTCCCCCTCGCTGCCCCCTCCCAAGTTGACATGAGCACAGCTGGCTCCTCATCGGATTTTACTGCAGCTTTATCAACAGCCTATTGGGTTACGACACCATTTGTTGTGTAAGAGGAAAACAACTGTTGAAAATTCAATCGCTTATACAGTCAATCATTTCTAGCGTTTTTTATGTCTTATTAAAATGGATACTTTGGCTGTAAAAAGTGTTTCTTTTGTCGTTAAAAATTATATAACTATGGCGAAGGAAACATGAATTTAGGGATCAAATGCGTTGCTCATCAACAGTAATTTTAGTTTCTCAATTTTTATCAGTTTCACATAATGAAAACTTGATACTAAATAGAAGTCAACATGCCTTAAAATTAGGATCTATTTAAGTAACCAGCTCAATATCTAACATGTCTTAGAATAGGCACCTGTGATGGATGGATTTACCAAATGCTTTTTGGATTCTGTTTTCCTTTTCCCAAAGAAAATGAAGTTATCAACGATCACCGCAGCCTTCCTGTCTCCTTTTTCTGATGTTCCTATTTGTACAGTGGTGGTTAATCCAGCCGGTGAAATGGCCATGCAGTTTTCAAATCTAAGCCTTAGATGCCTTATTCCAGCCCCAGTAGGTGGATGCAAGATATAATTCTTTCCACGAAGAAAGAACAAACTGGTATTCACGTAACCATCTCAAAGCGTGAACAGCCTGGATATGTGTGCGTGCGTAATTACCAGGACACGTTTGGAAATAGCACTGTGCTCTAAAGCCAGCGAGGTATTATTCTTGCCTCCCTGAATCATAAAGTCATCATCCACCAAGATAAAAGAGAATATGGGCATATGGGAACGAGCAGGGAGGAACATATGGATCACAAATATTTTTGTAACTGATTAAAACTGTTCTCTTCGCTAAGAAAGCAGTGCCAGGGAATCAACCCTAGTCCAGCTTTCCATTCCCCAAACTAACCCAACTCTTCCACTGCTGTTTAGTCTTCATCTGTCCCAATTTCTCCCATTTTTCACAAAGAAGCAAAACCATGTCTAACAAATATGTTTTACCCAACATTTGGTTAATAGATATCCTGGCCAAGTGTCAATTGTTATGGTTGGAGGTGGGGAGGGAGAAAAAGGAGACTCTATACAAATGCACAAAATAAAAGTCACTGCAGTTCTTTCAGTGGAAATAATATTTTAACCATGGTTTAGGGGGTGATATTGAGGAAAGGCAGGCAATAAGTAAGCTATAGGAAATTGATCAATGGTGTTGTCAGCTATTTACAATGAGGAAAATGAGTAAAATAATGACTATTTTAGATTATGTTGTTTCTTATTTTTTGGGCTGACTTTAGAGTTGCATATAGTAGCAACTGGGTTTGTGGGAATGAGAAAGAGAGGGCGAGAGGAGAGAAGCACCGTGCAGAAGACCAAATATTCTGTCTTTCATCATTACCAACAAAATAGGCATGTCCTAATTGTGTGCACACACGCGTGTGTGTGTGTTGCATACATTAATCACTGGGCTGTCATGTGGAGAAAGAAAGCTTGGGGTTTAATTCAAATTCCAGCAGTGATTTAGTTCTCAGAGGATATCTAAAATGAGACATTAAATTCTATTAGCAAGTTGGGAGGGCCACTTTATTAGTCACTTTTGTCACAATCCTTCTACTCCAAATTAGCAGAGGATGACTAATCTTATCCTCGATCAGTATAGGTACTTTATGATGAGACAACACAATCAAGATTTACTTATTTGAACAACTGAAATGTTTTCCCCTTATGCACTGTTCCTTCTTCTTTTAGCTAGTCACAGTTCTGCAAACGTAAGCCACTAGCAAACTGTGATATTAGGGATCTGTCAATTTTCTGCATAAGGTATTTAAATGCTGCAACCCCTTATCAACCAAAGATACACCCTAGTCTCAAAACAGTTATTCTGTTAAACGAGTTAGTTTGAACATGTAAGATTAAGTTTAAAGACTTAAAAAACAAAAAAAAGAGAGAAGAAAAGTAATTGGAGGGCTTCCCTAGTGGCTCTGCAACAAGAGAGGCCACCGGAATGAGAGGCCTGCGCGCTGCAACGAAGAGTAGCCCCCGCTCGCCACAACTAGAGAAAGCCTGCACGCAGCAACAAAGACCCAAAATGCAGCCAGAAAGGAAGGAAGGAAGGAAGGAAGGAAGGAAGAAAAAGAAGGAAAGAAAGAAAGAAAGAAAAGAGAAGTAATTGGAATGTAATCCTTTCAGAAATGAGAGCAACCATGGCATCATGGCATGAATAGAACATACAGACTAATACCTTCAGCAAGCTTGAAAATTTCCCCAGGTAACAGAAAAACATCAATAAGATAATTTCACATAAGTTTACTTTCCAAAGAAAAATGTCTCCTTCAATACATGTATAAGAAATACTCAACCAGGAGTTCTACCCTTTCATTAAACATTTTTTGGTCAACTCAATGCACAGGCATTCTGTAAAATTCTTGAACCACCATGCAAATGCCAAATTGATCAGACAACTGTTTTGGAGGAAGAACCTAAGAGGATATTTAAGAAAAGGAATTTTCATACTAGGGGTTTAAAGGTAGAAGTATTTTACATGAATATTCTTACTTCAACTTTGATAGCTAGGCAGTTTATAAACATACAGTACCTCATATGTAGAATATCACTTTTTCTTCCTTATTATTATAGCAAATTGGACACAAACATAACCTACATCAACATTTAGCAGACTTCAGTAACGGAAAAAACTGATGTCAAAGCTTTGAACATAAGAACAGCCCCACAATAATCACAAGTGTCTTTAAAAATAAGAGAGGTCTGATCTCAGTAAAAACATCTGAAGGAAAAAGGCCAATGTTTCAATTCCTCACTTTTATAACAACTGTTTACGGAATCTCTACCACCTGCAAGGATGCTGTAACACAATCTCAAAAAATCCTCTTTTTTTTTCAAAAAAATAAAATAAGATAAAAGTTAAATACTTCTAATGGATCCACATGAAAAATTTTAAAGACGGGTTAAACAATTTCATCATCCTTTTCTTGATTATTCATGAACTGGAAAACAAAGATGACTTCTGCTTTTATAATTCTTAAATGTTTTCTCAGTGTATTTCAAAGAAAGACATAAACTTGGGAGAAGTAAATAATGTACTGGGTCCCATAATAAATATTTGGATATCCTCAGAACTAATTGATGAAAGTAATAAAGTGAAATGTAGCAGGACAAAAGATCTTACATTTGGGTTCTAAAAAATAGTTGCATAATTTGCAATTTTTAGTTTAGACAAGAGAAGACTTAGGGAGGACAAAATAGCTATTTTCTAACGCTATTTTAAAACATATTCAGAGAACAAGGAATTGGCCTTACTTGGTGCTGCTTCAAAAGTTAGCACTAGGAAAAAAAATAAGAACCTACCTTTCTAAACATAGAACTACCATATGACCCAGTAATTCAACTCCAAAATATACATCCAAGAGAATGGAAAGCAGGGACTAGAACATACAATGGAATATTATTCAGCCTTAAAAAGGAATGGAATTCTGATACATGTTACAACACGTATGGACTTTAAAAATATTATTCTTAGTAAAATAAGTCAGACACAGAAGAACAAAGACGGTATGATTCTGCTTATATGAAGTACCTAGAACAGGCAAATTTATAGGGACAGAAAGTAGAAGGGAGGCTACCAGGAGCTGGAGGTAAGGAAGAAAGGAGTTGTTGTTTAATTGGTTTTTGTTGGGGATGATTAAAAAGTTGTGGGGGGGGGAAAAAAAGTTGTGGGTACAGATGTGATGGTTACACAGTTCAATGCCACTTAATTGTACACTTTGGAATGGCTAAAATGATAAATATTATATTATGTATATTTTGTCACAATAAAAGAACCTAAAAAACTTTTTTCTTCCTGAATGTGATATAAATGAAAAATAGACAAATCAATATATACACAAACAGATCAAAGGCAGAAAATGATAGTACAAGA